GCAGGTGATCGATCCTTTTCAGAGTACATTTTACCAAACAAGAATATAGAAAAACATGCATCGAAGGTGAACAATCTTACTATACGAACTATAAACGGCCAACGAGCACTCTTCAAGGAATATAATCCAGTTCAAACGCTTACCTGCGATGATGCCTTGACCCTTTTTGTCAGTTTCATTGAAAAATCTGCGAAAGAAGTCAAGAAATCAACATCAAAGAATTTCTGTTCTGTTCTTGTAGGTCGTAATGCCAAGCGATTCGATGTGCCTGTGTTACTTCGCAACAGCAACAGCAGCATAATAACAAAATTCCAATCCTTGTCTATATGTTTCGCTGACACCCTTACGTTGTTTGAATACTTGGTAAAAAATTCATTTCTGGAAGACCAGAACGGAGGCCCTTGTGTGTTGAATCAATCTGCAGTTTACATGGCTCTATTCAATCAACATTTCAACGCCCACGACGCTCTAGAGGATGTCAAAGCTTTACGTCGAATACTTTTTGCATCACGGCTATATCTTTCCTCCAGGGATCTGTTAAATTACTGCAAACCCATATCTTTTAACGAAGCTTACGACGACAATCTTTACCTTTGTAAACGACACAAACTATCCGAAACATTTGGAAGTCTTTTATACGTACGACAACAGTGGTGGGAAATCAACGACCAGCAAATGCATGGTAGAAAAGATCGCCGGCAGCGGCTTGAATTATGCAAACTTGAAAAACATCTTCGACAAATTTGGCAGAAAAGGACTTGTTCGAGTGTTATCTACATGCCTCCCGGTTTCAAAAAGTCACGGGTAACAAAAACGAAGAAAATCTTGCTTGCAATCGTGCGCCATTTCGAATCATCACATAAACAATAAACCGTGACGCTGCGGGAACACCACGCAAACAAAACACGGACATGCGCAGATACTGTTGTTGTCTTTTTTAAATTCTGTGTGGCCGCGTAAGTTTTTCTATTTTTGTTTTCGTTTTTCTTTAAATTTCTTCGATCAATTTTTTTTAATTTTTTGTATAATTAATGCATATATCATGTTTTTCAACATATCTAAAGATTAAATTTGGAACAAAAATTTGATACTGTTTCAAAATTTGGCGTATAATTTTCCCTATTTTTTTATATATATTCTTTACCCCTGTATTCCGAATTTGTACAGAAAAGTTTAAAAAAATTCACCGAAAAAAAATTCATAGAAACGCATTTTTGACTTTTTTGTCCCGTATAGTTTAAGTTCAAAGCTTTCGTTACTAATGTTAAGATATTACTTTTGGTGTCTACAGCTTAGTTTTACTCTAAGTGCAGGGAGCCACGTTAAAGACCAATTAATTTTGAAAATTGTTTACGGTAAGAACCTTTCTTTAATATGTCGTAATTTGTCGTATTTTTTCGGCTGTTTTGCTCAAAAATTATCTCGCAAGTTTGTTTATAAGTGTTTATATGAAAGTCTGGCTATATCACGAAACACTACAGCCGAAATATGGCAACCTGTTTGGCCGTATTTTGTTCAAAATAGTGGATACACAAGCTTCATAAGGCGCTTTTCTCGGTTAGCAAGAGGTCTGTCACAAGTTGTTGAAAACAGCATTGCTGCCGATTGCTGCAGTTCTGTGTCAACAACTTGCGACAGGCCTGTTGAAAACAGCATTGCTGCAGCTCTGTCACAACAACTTGCGACAGGCTTGTTGAAAACAGCATTGCTGCAGCTCTGTCACAACAGCTTGTAACAGACCTGTTGACAGGCCGTTGCGGACTTGTCGGAACAGACAGGTACAAGGCGAGCGAACGCATCCAGATATCGGCTTGTTGACAACAACCTTTAACAGATATGTTGCAGATCTGTTCCGACTTGCGCGAAATTGGCTGTGTACTAATGTCCGTTTCTATTCCGTCAAGACCCATTAGGCCTCTTGCTGCTGATCCTGAAATGCCTGGAAGTAGCAATTGTGCTATCTGACAAAATATATTTTGGATTTTCTCAAGTTTAGAGAACTGTTTCAAAGTACCACAATTCACAACCATACAGCAGATGCGGAAGGGCAATACTTCTCCACAGCTTAGTTGCAACCTTGGGGTCCAGGCCGCCATGTCGACACCCCATGGTTACCATCATATCAATTACTGCATAGCCTTTCTTCAGCACGATATCAATTGTTGAGTCAAACTTGTTGTTTGCGTTCCATATGATACCCAAATTTTTCCACGTTAGTACTTCTTTAATATAGGTAGACTACCTAGAACCCAATTTCATTCCGGTGTTGGAATTTTTCTCACTTTCTCTCCAAATACCATAGTAACCGTTTTCTTAATGTGAAATGTAGCTAACTCTCCAAGACCGACTGAATGTGTTTAAAATATCCAAAAGATGATTTAACGCTGTTTTAAGACTCCACAATAGAGTAATGTCATCAGCAAAAGTTGGTGAGCCGTGATAGATATTATACAGGAAAATTCCCCACTTGCTGTTTTCTAACTCAGATATTAAATCATTGATGTAGACCAAGAATAACCAGGGGGATATGATACCACCTTGTCTAGTACCTTGTAATATATTGTATTTACGAGAATACAAAAAACCATTTACACAAATAACCTCTTTCATGTTGGTATACCAGTTTTTTATAGTACGCCACGTTTTACCAGTAATTCCCATATGATGGTACAGCATTGCGTCTATCCACATGCGATCGAACGCTTTGCTGATATCAACAAAACATGTGTAAACCCTGTCCTTATTTTCACAGCAGTCTCTGATAGATCTATCATAAATGCAGTTGTTAATGCACTCTGCTCCGTTTCGTATGCCCCCTGAAGTCGTTGTATTTTACAATCAGGCACAGCTAGAATTCGGTTTAAGACCAGGTTTTGTAGAATTTTATCTAACACAGGCATTAGACTAATTCCACGATGATTATCAACGTCTTCTTTCCTGTGCTATCTTTTGGAATTGGGACTTTTACAGCTAACTTAAAGGAGAGTGGGATGTGCTCCAGGCAGACAATGGCATTGAACAAAAGTACTATGTGATGTAGAAGATTAGGGCCACCAAATTTCACATGTTCGTAACAAATTTTATCGAAGTCGGGTGATTTACCATTCGGCAGGTCATAGATTACTTGATTTACCTCGTAGAGTGTGAACGGTTGGGCGAGAACATTGTCGCTCTCATCTTCGAGAAGATCCAATCGATGAATCTCAGATTCAATGTCCTTCAGGGAACCACTATCAAAGATGTTTTCATTTTCATATCGTTTAAGTACTCATGCAAATCTTCAAAATAATTCGCCCACAAACCAGTGATCTTATGCGGATCATGCACCATTTCATCACATATCTCAAGATTAACGTCACTTCGTTTATTTTTCTTGGTAAGGTTAAGAAGTTTCCAAAATCTATTTTGATCTTGCTTTAACGTACTTGACATGTTAGCATACTCTCTCAGTGAGTATTCTTATATGCAACGTCGCTGCTCTTGTCTAAATAATCGTTTTGCTTCTTTATATTCCGCATACGTTTGATTGTGTCGTCCCCTAGGGCGCCCATCTTTTGCCCATTTTATATATTTTCTATTCACTTCCTTTCTTAATATTTTTAACTTATTGTTGCAGTAAGGCTTTATGTAGCTTTTATAAGAGATGTGAGGTAAAACCACGCTGGCATTCACCATGCAGTCTGTAAGTTCCTTAACATATGTATCGATATAGTCCGAAGTCAAGCAGGGCCATAGTGAGGGTGGTATTGGGGAGGGGGGGGCTAACCCCCCCCCCCAACCTTT